GAGCCGAGCCGCAGGGCGGGAGGCACATGGACTCTGTCAGGTGCCCAGGAGGAAAATCCAGCTCAGAGATGTTCTCACTTGCTAGAGTTAGGTGGCTGGTTGCTGTTGGTGGATAGAGAAGCCCCTTTGTGGTGGACTGACCACTTCCTGCTGCCTTAATTCCTGACTAATGGGATCAGCCTCATCGTGTAGCGGGAGACCCAGGGAATGTGGTTTTCTCTTTCCCATCCTTGATCCTTTCTTGCAGTTTTTGCTGGGACGGAAAGAGGAAGAAGCAGTGTTGGTTGGGGGTGAATGGTCTCCTTCCCTGGATGGTCTCGACCCCCAGGGTGACCCGCAGGTGCTGGTGCGCACAGCCATCCGCTGTGCACAGGCCCAGACTGGCATCGACTTGAGCGCCTGCACCAAGTGGTGAGTGGCCTCCGTCCCCGGCTGCCACACTCACGGGTGCTGTGGACATGAATGCGGCCAGGGTGGGGGTGTGTGCCAAGGGCCAGCTGAGCCCTGAAGCCACGCTTGGCACCCCTTGCTGCCTAGCACCTTGTGCAGTACCTGTCGGCTTCTGAGTTGGTCTGTAGCCTTCTTGTTGAACTTTCAAAGCATGGCACGTGAGTGCCCATGGGAAACTGAAGCACTTGCTTGTAAATGTGGTGTCTGCCTGAGAACGTCATGGGTTATATCTCCTTTTCCCTTTGTTGTGAGCAGGTGGCGCTTTGCAGAGTTTCAGTACCTGCAGCCGGGACCCCCGAGGCGGCTCCACACTGTGGTGGTGTACCTGCCAGATGTCTGGACCATCATGCCTACTTTGGAAGAGTGGGAGGCCCTTTGTCAGCAGAAAGCTGCAGAGGCAGCTCCCCCACCCCAGGAGGCAGCAGGGGTAAGGCTGAGCCTTGAGACACAGAGGGGGAAGTAGGTGCCTTGACCCCAGGACCCAGAGGCTCACATCTGGGGTGTTGTTGCAGGAAACAGAGCCTGAACAGACGCCTGATGCGTCAGAGCAGGCAGCAGACGCTGCTAAGAGGAATGCAGAGACTCCTGAGGCCACCACACAGCAGGAAATGGACACTGACCTCCCAGAGGCTCCTCCACCCCCTCTCGAACCTGCCGTCATTGCACGTCCTGGCTGTATAAACCTGTCCCTCCATGCGATTGTGGAGGATCGGAGGCCGAAAGAAAGGATATCTTTTGAGGTGGGTGTAGGTGTCCTGGGGAGCTCAGGGTACCCTTTCCTCCTGGTGCTCAGGGCCCCACGCCTCTCCTGACAGGTGGTGGTGCTGGCTGAGCTATTTCTGGAGATGCTCCAGAGGGATTTTGGCTACAGGATTTATAAGATGCTGCTGAACCTTCCCGAGAAGGTCATGTCCCCACCTGAACCTGAGAAGGAGGAGGTGGCCAAGGAAGAGGTGGCCAAGGAAGAAGAAGCCATCAAAGAGGAAGTGGCCAAGGAGTCCAAGGATGAGGTACAGAGTGAGGGCACAGCTGCCGAGGCAGACACCCCGCTGGTGAGTACCTCTGTCCCCCTGCTCGACACTGGGGACTGCCAATGATAATGCTTTGCTTAATCTGAGTATCATCTGTACCAGGCACTGTTCTGGCACTTCCTGTGTCGTCTCCTTCCCTCCTCCCTCCCACTGCATACTCCCGAGGAGCCTGGGATGGACGAAGGCCCAGGGCGGTTAGGAAGTGGTGCGCCTAGGGTAAGGGAAGGTGGCAGGGACGAGCGAAGGGGCGCGCGCCACAAGAGCACAGAAATCCCAGTCACTAAGAACACTGGGACGTGTGGGGGTGTTTGATTGCCTGATGGCTAACTAGAGACTTTTCAAACCTTTTCTAAAACATGACTGACTCTGCTTCTTGCATAAATACTATCAAGTAATCATAATTTCTTCTTGGACTGAGATCAGCTCCTGAGGGAAATCCCAGGGGTCTGGAAGTGTCCTGGGCATGCTGAGTCCCATGCAATGAATGACATTAAATACCTTCAGTGAGAGTGTGTCTACAAAGCCCTCAACACAGTGCCTGGAACATAGTTGATACTCAAATGTTAGCCGTTGTTATTATTAGCAATTGCAGTAATCATGTTCCTTCTCATCACCCTGGTCTGTCTCCCCAGAAGGAGGACGGGCTTATGCCCAAACCGCCTTCTTCAGGCGGAGAGGAAGAAGAGAAACCCCGGGGTGAGGCGTCTGAGGACCTATGTGAGATGGCCCTAGACCCGGAGCTGCTGCTCCTGAGGGACGATGGAGAGGAGGAGTTCGGTGCGTCCGGTGGTGACAGAGGGGAGTGTGAACAGGGGCTCTTGGGACCTGGGGTTTCCTGTCAGGACTGGGGAGCCCGTTTGGGGGCGTGCTCTGCTTATCTGGGGCTTCCTGTAGCAGGAACAAAGCTGGAGGATTCAGAGGTCCGGTCTGTTGCCTCGAACCAGTCAGAGATGGAGTTCTCTTCGCTTCAGGACATGGTGAGCCTCTCTGGGCCTCGGTGGTGGCAAGGCCTGGTTCACTCCTGGGAGCAGGATGCTCACCCACGACTCCTCTTGGTGGACCAAAGACGGCTCCAGAAAATTTCACTGTCCTGTATCTGATCCTCCCCTGAGAGAAGCGTAAGGGGTTCTTTATCACAGGTGCCCCTGAGGCCTGCTTAGGTGTGGCATCATTGTCATCCAAGCTGCTCGTCTATGTTGCCCAGGCTGGAGTGTAGTGGTCACCGATAGGCGTGATCGTAGCACGCTGCAGCCTCCAACTCCTGGGCTCAAGCCATCTTTCTGCTTCAGCCTCCCCAGCAGCAAGGAAGACAAGCCTGCCACTGTGCTGTCTCCAGCTGCTCCATTTTAAAAGGGCTGTGTCCTGGGTGATGGAGCAACTAGGAGAACTACCTGTAACTCCCGCTCACCTGTGTTTCCTTTGCAGCCCAAGGAGCTGGATCCCTCTGCCGTGCTCCCCTTGGACTGTCTCCTTGCATTCGTCTTCTTCGATGCCAACTGGTGTGGCTACTTGCACCGGCGAGACTTGGAGAGGATCCTCCTGACCCTCGGGATCCGGCTCAGTGCAGAGCAGGTTGCTTCTCTCTCCTGCCCCATTGGTCCTCTCTGGGTGGCCTCCTGACACACACACAGGCCTGCGCTAGGGTCTTGCGTGTCACCAGGACAGAGGTTTGCGCCTTCTGCTCAGTGGGTGTGTTTTCCATAGGCCAAGCAGCTGGTCAGCAGGGTGGTGACACAGAACATCTGCCAGTACCGGAGCCTCCAGTACAGCCGCCAGGAGGGCCTGGACGGCGGGCTGCCCGAGGAGGTACTTTTCGGTACGTGGTGCTCTGCAGCCTTGCTGGGACGTGGGCGGGGCAGGCTGCCTCCTCCTCCGCAGATCTTGTTAAACCTTTGCTGCCCCTTCTAGGAAACCTGGACCTGTTGCCTCCTTCTGGGAAAAGTGCAAAGCCAGGTGCCGCCCCCATGGAACACAAGGCCCTGGTGCCCCACAATGGCAGCCTGATCAACGTGGGCAGCCTGCTGCAGCGCGCGGAGCAGCAGGACAGCGGCCGGCTCTACCTGGAGAACAAGATTCACACACTGGAACTGAAGCTGGGTGAGGGGGCTGGCACGGGCAGGCTGTGTGGAGACCCCCACTCCGTAGGCTTCGGGGCCCTGAGCGCCAGGCCTCGACTGAGCAGGAGTCTTTCTGGTCTTCCCTCCCCCGCCTCGCAGAGGAGAGCCATAACCGCTTCTCAGCAACGGAAGTGACAAACAAGACACTGGCCGCGGAGATGCAGGAGCTGCGCACCCGGCTGGCTGAGACCGAGGAGACGGCCCGGGCGGCGGAACGACAGAAGACGCAGCTTCAGCGGCTGCTGCAGGAGTTCCGGAGGCGCCTGGCGCCCCTGCAGCTGGAGATGCAGCGCATGGTGGAAAAGGTGGGGAGGGACGCCAGGGGCAGCTGAGGCTCCTGTCACCCCCTTCCTTCTCTCAACCTGGGTTACCTTACCTTTGTCCTCCACCCGCAGGCTCCTGTGGATTGAGCAGCTGGCAGGCCTGGGCACTCCCTGCCCGTGCTGACGCTTGTTCCTCTGTGTCACGCAGGCTGACAGCTGGGTGGAGAAGGAGGAGCCGGCGCCCAGCAACTGAGGGCCTGGCCAGGAGCTGTGGCCCGCGAGGGCGCCTGGTGAAGTTGGAGCCTTTGGTACCTGAAAGCAGCTGGAGCAAGACCTTGGAGCCACGGGCAGGGGAGGCTGACCCTGCGCTCAGCCTCTGGAGGGGACGCCAAGCCATCAGGGTGGGGGTCTGCGATGTGAGACGATGTGCAAGGAACCCTGGTTCTGGTTACAACTAAATACATCTTTTGCACCCCTAGAATGTCATTTTGCCCTCAACCTTGGAATTTCTCCCGGGGCCCTTTTAGTCTTGTGCTGACTTTCTCCTGTCCTCTTCCAGTTTAGAATAAGACAGGGGAGGAAAAGGCTTTTCGAGTATGTGACAAGGTGTGATGCCAATAAACTGAAGAGACAGACGTGGAGTCTGGCTGGGGCTAAGAAACCCCTTTCTCTGGACGGCACAAATCCTGCTGGTTCTAGGCGCAGACTCTAGGGAAGGGTCTCCGTTGGCCATCACGGGAGTGGAGTCTGTGCTTGGAAGCTTGGTGTTGGGCTGTGTTTGCCACAGAACACTGTGTTCCAGCCACCCCAGACTTGCCAGAAGAAACCAGCACCTCTTTCCCCGGCTCCTGTGTTCAGAATGTGGTATTGGCTCTGGCCCAGCCTTCTCCCCGCTCCCCATAATTCTCGCCTTTCCATAATCCGTGGTTTCAGTTTGACTTTGTATATAAAGTTGGGTTTTTTTTTTTTTGGCTTTTTGTTTTTTAAATAAACCAAAGTCAAAAACAAACCAAGTGTGTCTTCCATAGCACTTGCCTGTGCACGCCACCGCCCCCCTTCCTGGCCCTCAGCCCCGGGCTCTGCCGGGCCACTCTCCAGCAGGGCTGTTCCCTCCTTAAGTCACAGCACAATACTACATGGACATTTTAGTGAAAACTTTACTTGAAAAAATAAAATCCCACATATCCAGGTGAGAGACAAACCCACGTTTGTGCCCTGAGGCTTGTGAATTGATATGTGACATTCTGTGTGGTGGGGCAGTTACTTTAGTTACCTCGGGAACCTGAACCAGCCTGCCTGCTCTCTGTCACCCAGGCAGGGTTGTGGCCTCTCCTAGGAAAAGAGTCTTTGAAGTGAAAAGGCAACAAGGGTCCCTGGCTGGGGTCTCTGGAGGTAGATACGATCCTGCCACACAGGCAGGGCGAAGACCCTCAGCTGAGCTGGCGGAGCCCACGCCCTCCGAGGGGCTACAGCATGCTCTGGCCCTAGGCCTGGACGTACTTTGGACGGTAATTCTGGAAGCGAAGCTCTGGGCTCCTACGCTGCTTACCTGCGTCTGGGGCTTTGGGGGAGGCTGCAGCTTGCAGGATGAAGCCGCTCACTGCTCGGGGCTGCCAGGGTCAACCGGGGCCACCCCTACCCCAGCCTGCGGGAGGAGCAGAGCCTGCCCTGCACAGGACAAGGACTACAGAGGCTGTGTCCCAGAAGTCCTCTGAAAGCAATGGGAATTCAGTCGTCGGCCACGATGGAGAGGGCTCGGAGCTCGCTCAGCTTGGCCTCGTTCTCCTGCTCCCGCTGCTCGTCAGAGTGGCCTGGCTGGTCAAGCTGTTGGGTCAGGTCTCCAAAGATCTTGTGCATCTCGGAGTAGTACACGACCTGTGGGGACACAGGAAGGGTCAGCCAGTGCTGGGCTCCCGGGAATCAGGCGCCCAAACCTCAGGAGGACAGCGGGGCTGGCGCTGCCATGGGGCCAGCTCCCACTTCTCCACCGCTGCCTCCCTCCCTAGTTCCTGTCCCTGACTGCTGGCAGCGCAGACAGGAGTAGGGCCACAGCCTTCCGGAGGCACAAGGAACAGAAAGGCTCAGCCGAGACCGCAGGGCAGCCATAAGTCAAACCAAGCTGGGGAGCAACAGGGCCCTGGCGACTGCAGGTGAAGATGCCCTTCCCACTCCTGTTCTCCCAGGACCCAAAGCGGGAAGGGACAGGCCTGTGGCCAGGCCTGGGAGGCTGAGGAGTGACAGGCACTGGGACCAGGGCCTGACTGCTTTTTGGAAGCCAGGAGAGAAACCCAAAGCTTTTGTCCTGGGAGAATGAGGACATGGTAGGCTGGTGACTCCCAAAGCCCCGAGAGCCAATTTTAGAGGTAAAGCTGAGAAAGGTGACATGGTTCTAGCCTTCCGTTCCCTCCTAACTCACCAACTCACACCCGCCCTCACGCATGGTCTGAGCGCATAGCCATGGGCACGGCTCAGAGGCCAGGCTCACCCAGATCCTTCCAGGCAGCACCAGGACTGGGTGGGACACAGGCCCAGAGGCCGAAGTGGGCAGAGGAACGGGGGCCCTATCACTATTCTCCCAGGTGGCCAAGGACAGGGGCTTTCCCAGGTCCTGCCTCAGTTTCCACCTCACGACCCAATGAAAGCAAGTACTTTTGTGAAAGTGCCCCACACCTTCAAACACTCTGTTCCCAGCTGTCTCTGCGACTACAGACACTCGAGACCATCCCTAGGCAGTCTCTCCTGGACACCCATGGCAAGGTTTCCACTGGGCCTAGAGGGCTGAATGAAGCCAGGCCTCAGTTGAATGAAGCCGGGCCTGGGGCAAGTGCTGGGGGGAGGGCGGGGGATGGCCACCCTACCCCCAAACTCCTCGCCCAAGCCAAGCCGTGTGAGTCACGGGGAATGCTCACTTCTGCAGTGACTAACGGCAGCGGCAGCGGGCGAGGAGGCGGCTGTGCCGAGGGGGCGGTAAACAACCCCTGGCTCCCCCGCTGCCTGGTTACGGGGCATCCCTCCCTCGCCTCCCACACGGCTCCAACCTGGGCACACCAAGCCAGGCACCCGAGGCTTCCTCCTGAGAGCAACAGGAGGAAGGGCGTGGACGGCTGGGATGGCTGCACGGGGGCCTGCCTCAGGGGTGGAAAGGACCCCTGCCCCCACTAGGCTCTCGGTCTCACTGCCCCCTAGAGATGACACAGATGACACAGGACCAAGGATGTGGGTCACTAACAAGTCCCAGCTCCAGTCCCAGGCTCCCTAACACTGAGTGCCTGGCCATGGCTTCTGGAGTTCTCCAAAAACTGCATGGTGGGAGGCTGGATCGGCTTCTCCTGGGGCCTGAGACTGTGGAACCTGCAAGGACTGGCAGTGTCCACTAGAGGGTGCCAGACGCCCGGCCAAGAAAACAGCAGCCGCAAGTGGCTGCAGACATGTGCAGCCTGCTGCCCGGCTACCTGAAGGTGAAGGGACGAGTATGGGGTCCTGAGGCTGGCACTGAGCCATCAGTGGGGTCCTGTGTAGAGGGGACCTGATTCTGGCTTTGGCACCTCAACGCTTCTATTTTGCCAGTGGGGAGAATGATCCTTGCTAGAGATTTAAAGATTAACGGGGGTGAGGAGGGAAATGCTCCCGCTATGTCCTTCCACCCAAGCAGAGGTGGCACAGGGTCCTGGCCTGTGTCTGACACTCAGCTCCGCAGCATTGGTGCCACCTGAGTCCGGCCTGCCCTTCCCCACCTGACCATGGCTCTCCCAGGGCTCAGGGACCCCTCCCTGGGTAGCTCAAAGTCTCGTCTCCCTGGGGCCTGGCGCTAGTGAGGACTAACAAGGTGGGCAGGCAGGGGGGCTGGGTCCTCAGAACCAGGTCTCCAGAGCCCTCGTGTCCTCAGGACCCCCCGGCAAAGAACCTGCCCCGAAAGAAGGCCTAAAGGGGCTGCCGGCTTCTTTCTGCTGCTCACAGCATGACATGAAGGGACACAGAAACCTGAGGGGACTCTCCACTGAAAGGAACCTTGCCCACCCCACGGCTGGGGTTACCCTTAGAGCAACGTGGGAACCCAAACAAATGCCAGGCAGCAGTCCGAGTCCCCGAGGCTCCAGAGCCCCACATCCCGCACCGGAATGCCATCCCCTCGGTGCCGCTGTCTGCAGAGAACAGCTCAGCCACCTTCCCTCCAGCGTGGGGCAGCAAAGTGGCACGAGGGGCGTCCACAGAGCCCACGACCATCTCCTCAGGGAGGAACTCGAGGTTACCCGATGTGACCGGGGCCGATGTGCGCGGAGCGGCTGGCCTCACCTGTGCCCGGATCAGGGACTCGAAGCTGGGCTGGAAGTAGCCGAGCCGGCTGCCGTAAAACCGGGGCATCTCATCCAGGAGCTGCTTGTTCTTGGCTTCGAAGTCGTCCCGCACGGGCCGGAGCTCTTCTCGGGCCTGGGGAGCAAGAAGCTAGTGTCAGAGCTCTCGCTGCTGTCTTGGTCCTGGAGTCCCCAGGTGGAGGGGGGAGCTCACCACACACGACCACAACGCCCCGTCCATACCCTTCCCTTCCGCCCCTTGCACCCTTGCCACCCGACCCCGTACCTGGTGGAGCTTGGCCAGCACCGGCCCTGTCTTCTCCTTCTCCTCGTACTTCTCCACCTTGGCCTGCAGCCTGCGGTAGTCCTGCAAGGCCTGCTCCCGCCGCTTCACCGCCATGTTGAGGCTCGGGAAGACGCTGCCAAACCTGGGGGACACGGCGGGTAGGACACAGGCCTTTCTTGGCGGGGCGGCCTGGCAGCTCCTCTCTCTCAGAAACGTGAGCTGAGCACACCTGGACCACCCGCCTCCCTGACCCACGCCGCATGGCACAGACTTGCTAGGGGACAGCAGGGGTTGGGACACTCCTTGGGAGACACCTGTACAATAGCTTCGTTTTAAAAACTGGGAGAAACTGAGACCAGAGAGAAGACGTATGAGTTGCCCCAGGTCACAATTATGTAGAGACGTCCAGAAGAGAACTCAGGGATCCCAGTTCTGTCTGGGCCCTTCCCCATCCCCTACGGCGCCACCAGCAGGTGGCAGAACTGAAACGTCCCGGCCGAGGGCGCCTTTGCAACGCGAGAAAAGCAGAGATCCCATGGTTCTACCCTTGGAATGGCCAAACTGTCAACCAGATGTTCTAGGAAAATGACTCGAGGACGCCCTCCCACCGTGACTAGAAGGGACGACGACGGGAAGTCCTCAGAGTGCCCATCCTCAAACAGCAGCAGTACACGGCGGCATTTTGGGCACTCCAAGCAAAATCTTCATGGCTAGTGTCATCTTTAACTACAAGGGACGACGGTATCTTGAGATGGGCACAGGGCGGTTGTTCCTGTCGGCCCAGGCAGGGATGTTGCGTTCTCCTTGCCTACACAGGGCGGGATTTCTGGAAGCGGACAGACGACGGGGCAGCCTTCTGGAACGCTATGCCCTGAGCAGTGACACACTTTGGCCGCTGCTGCTGGAGGGCCTGGCCCTGGGCTCGGTGGCAGGAGGCATCCACCAGACAAGCCGGGAGCCTCGAGCCGGGCGAGACCAGCCACGCAGCTGCAGGAAAGTGACTCAGTGGTCACTTGGGGGCTGAGCAGCAGGATTGGCGACCCAGGACCAGAAGAGACGGTTCCTCGTGGAGTTTCTATGAGGAACCCAGAAAAGATGAAAGACAAGGGCAGGGGAAGTGCTGAGGCCAGGCTCCCTCGCAGGCACCTGCGCACTCTCGGGTCAACTCCAGGGAATTCCAACACCACACAACGCGTGACTTCCCAAATCTGCCTCTCGAGAGAACACGACCACGAATGTGGTCTTAAAAAGCTTCAACAAGCGTACGTGTGAGGTCACAGCAATGAACAGTTTTGCTAGAGAACATGAACCTGGCAAAACAGTAAATGCCCCAAACTACGCTGCAGACCCAGGGAACAGATGTGGATGACATCAAGGGCTTATCCCCAAGGGAGGCCAATACTAACGCCAATTCCTCTAATTAATGAGCATCCAACACGGGTCCTCTGCCTAACAAAATGCTAAAGAAGTGGGGAAACCACGGAAACGTCTCTGAATCCTCAGCCACAGGCCCTTAGACATAGCAATCACGCCGACATTTGATGGACAGATTTGCCAGGCAGGACAGGGCCTTCCTGATGCCGTGTACACCCAGAGCACAGACCTCACTGGCACTGTGCCTGCTAGAGGTGGGAACCAGACGCCAGCAGGACACAGCCATCCAAGCCACCCACCATGAGGCAGTGACACCGCTGGGAGGAGTGGGCTCACTGCTCTTGCCTAATGCAGTTGCTGTGATGGAGTCCCAGCTGCTAGGGGAGCCCCGCTGGCTTCCTGGGCAGCTGGGAGCCATGTGGCTTGAGGGAGCGGGGGCAGTGGGGCCTGAGAAGCTGCCACCTGCCTCTCCCTCCACCTCAGATGGCCAAGGGCCACCAGCAGCCACCCTGATCCTTTCATTAGAAGCCACCTGCTGCTTGGGTAGTCCCAGCACCCGGGCCTCTGCTGTCTACTTGCAGGCTGCCTGGAAAGTGCCGGTGGGACAGGGACAGAGCATGGATGAGAGACAGGCAGGCCTGGCCCACAATTGCATCACTCTGAGCTCAGACCCTCAGGAGAGAGCATCACAACGAGTGAGGCAAAGTGTGCATAGGAGCATTCCACGGGTGCAAGATGGGACCAGCAACATGCTTGTCATTCAAGAAGCCCTGACACTTGTGACCCAGCAGCATCTACACCGTGGCTCACGCTCATAGCCCTTTCCATGGTTGTCAACTGGGGCTTATTCCAGGGCCAGAGCCAGAAATGCTGGCTACACGGAGGGACCTGGGCAGTCTATGTGGGAAACGTGCAGACGGGAGGCCAAGGGAGGCGGGGACCCAGGGGTGAAGCGCTTTCCTGGGGGAGTGGGTCAGAGGCACTGTGTCCACAGGGGGCTGCTCCCAGCACAGCTCCTCCTGCCAGCCCTCTGCAACCAAGACCACCTGGCTCTGCGGGGCACAGACCCCACCATTCTGTTTGAGCATCTGCCCCTCCGGGAAGAGCATGTCTTCACCACGATCATTTCTGTCTCCCACGGCAGCTCCCCTCGGTCAAAGCCCGAGTACGTCACCACGTGGATGGCCGGGGGGTTCTCTGGGGGTAGGGACGGGTGTCATACCCCTTTACATTCAAGGGAGCACTAACACTGGTCTGGTGAGGGGCATAGCTTTCCCTGAGGTGGCTGCTGAACAAATGTGGACCAGAACTCTATCCCCTGGCCCCGGTACCACCCACCCCACTGAGGCCCCACGTCCCCATTCTGTACTTTTTAGCAATGGGACAGGCCTTGCCAGCCACATGGGGCAGGCGGTGGACGTACCACGGTGCCATGTGGGGAGCTGGTCTGACAATTGGCACCCGTGTGGAGCTTTCCTCCACCCTCAGGTCAGGGTCTGGGCGACAGCGGGGGAGGGCGCAGACAAGCGCAGGCTGACAAGCACAGCCAATTCGGCACTCTCCTTCCACAGACGAGGAAACGGACCCAAGAGCAGGGGGCAGGCTGGCACAGCCCACCCAGCGTGGCCCCGCTCCATGCCATTGCACCCCACTGGCAGCTGCCACACCTGGCCTGCTGTCTTGAGAAGGCCACATGGCTTCCACACTAGACCGTGTAAGCCCCTCGTGTTGCTCTATGCTTCTCCTCAAAGAAGGGGAGACAGGCTGGGCCCAGACCAGCACTCGCTGCAGTGCTATCCATGGTGACTGCCCACCTCGTGCCTGTCCTCAGGTTCCACACCAAACTCGCTCCCCAGGGAGCGTGGGGTGAGGGAGGCCGGCTGGGAGGTGGGCTGGCGCAGCCGGCCCTGCGGGGAATGCCTGCCATGCCTCAGCCCGTGCCCACACAGCCGGGATCTTCCGCCCACCAGGAAAGGGAAATTGAAAGCATCCCCATCCGACATGTGAACGCGGCCCAGGGACCAGGGGATTAGAGGCCGAGCCCCCTGGGGGGGGAGAGGCGGGGGCGGCAGGGTGGCCATGTGGCCACGATCTTCATCAGAGGACAGGAAAGCTGCAGTTTCCTGTTTCCGGTGCTGGGGTCCCTGGGAGCTTCTCTCCTGGCAAGAGGAAGCCCATGGGAGGCGGCAGCAGGCAGTGCGGTTTTACGTGGTTGGGGGAGATCACATGTCAGCTGTGAGGGTGCAAGGACAAGCCAGCCAGGCGGCCAGGCAGGCCCCCGGCTCAGGCAGAGGGCAGCAGATCCGTTGCGGAGATGGGGCCGCCCCCTCTGCCACGCCCCCACCTTCCTGGCAGGTGGTGGCCCACCAGGGTGGCGGGAGCAGCCGAGTTTCTCTGCATTTGGCTGCAGAAGCCAGGCATCAGATTTCAAGGCCACCTCACTGGTACTGAAATCAAGATGGGTGTCAGCCCCCCAGTTCTCTGAGCTGGTGTCCTCTGCCTTGCTCTGCGTACCTGTGGCCGCCCCAGTGACTGGCTGTCCCCAGGACCCCTGCAACCCTGGCACAGAAGAATCCTCTGTGGGCACGGCCCGCGTTCCCTCCCGCTCAGCCCTGAACCGTCTGTTCTGGATCCCAGAACAGAAAGCCACAAGCCTCAGAGCTCCTGCACCGGCTCTCCACGTGACCCTGTGACGTGGGGCTGAGGCGTGACTCGCAAACACGGGGTGGTGGGTGCCCCACCCTAGGGGGCCAGGCCAGGTGGGGAGGAGAAATCTCTTTCCTCACAGCCACACGGAGCTCTGCAAGCCTGGCTGAGAAAGTCGCCAGGGTTAGCAGGGCTTTGTCCTCATCCCACACCTTGGGCCTGGGCAGGGAGAGATGGCACCAACCGCCAAACACCAGGGGCCGGAGTATCACACCGCTCTTCATCCTGCTCCGGGCCCCGAGCCAGGCCTGATGGTCATTAAGCAAAGGCTTGTTACCAGGCCAGGGACCACCGCGGAAGAGGGAATACGGTGCAGCTGCCGGCGGGGCCTTTCTAGGTCGGCGCCTGCCTGGGAGAGGCCGGGAAGAAGATGAAGCGATTGCAGAGCTTCAAGGCAAGGCTGCGGCCTGCTCTCCCCACCCCGGGGACTCGGGGAATAGCCCGTCTGATCGCTGCCCAGGGCCTGCCTGACGGGAGATGTGCTTTGCAGCAGCATTCCTGACCCCCACCGGTCACGAGCTAGGGGACCTTCCCAGGCAGCACCAGGCCACCGAGCCCCTCCCCGATGCAGCCACCCCCACATTTCCAAAACCGGGCACTGCTGGCAGCTGCACTCCCAATCCAGCAGAGAGAGATGAAAGGCCTTGCTCAGGTCCACCGAGGGCTGGCCAAGATCTCTGCTCGCTCAACTTGGCAAGCCCGGCCCCGCCGCCCTCTTGGGAGTGAGGGAAAGACGGTAAAACGGCCACCGGAGCAGTGGGAGAAATGGGAAGTTCCCTGCTGTCACCAAGCCTGTCTGGGCCATCTCAGGTACTCCAGAGCTACCAGGAGCATCAGCCCTTAGGCCACGGATGGCAGAGCTGCTGTCCCCACTGAGTTTCCTGTCATTCCCAGGGGAATAAGGGGACTGGCCGCTAGCAGTGCTGCTCAGTCCCCAGGTGGCAGCTCCGCCTTTCCTATAAGTGCCCTGAGGCCTGAGGTTCTGGGATGACCTTTACTTACTTTTTTAAGGGTTCAATCACAGTCTTCTGGATCTGGTTCACCTGTTGAAAGAAAGACCCAGTGACATTAAACCTGGAGGGGGGAGCAAGTCAGACTCTCCCTAAAAAGGGGGCTCCAAGTTTCTCAGAAGACAGCGAGCTGTCAGGGGTCCCCCCAAGACCCTAGGTAGGACGGGAATGGGAAGACAGGCAAGGCAGGCCACCCCTAACTGCAGCTAGAGTGAAGCAGAGATGACAGCCAGGAAGCCTGGAGGGTGACAGGAGCTCTGTCCTTGTCCTGCCAGCACTGTCTGCCTTGTCATTGTGTGGGGCAGGTGGGCAGCAACGGAAGGCTCAGGGCTCTGGGTGAGCAGAGCTGCCTAGAGTCTCCCTCAGGCCTCACCGCGAGTGACGTGACTCAGGGGATCATCAGGGAACAGGGTACACTGAAGCGGAGCCATCTAGAAAGAGCTGGGCATGGGCTTGTGGCCTGCATCCCAGGGCTGAGTGTGCCCGGGAAGCAGACTGAGCCCGCTAAGGCCACAACCAGACACAGGCTGAGAGAGAGGAGAGGAGGTGGTGTTTGGCCACCAGAGACCAACATCTAGTCACCTTCTCCTGATTGAAGGCGTCCATCCGCTTCATGGCCGTGTCCAGAGCTGTCACCATGTTCAAAAAGTCCTGGTCTTGCTCACAGAGGGGATTGGAGAGCAAGTCCAAGGAGATCTTTACAGCAGACTTGGACATGGCTGCAAAAAGGCAGAACTCAGTGACCAGATGAAGGGGCGGGTTCATTGTCTTTTCCTCAGGACCCGGTGCCCCTACAGCCCAGGGGCTGCACCCCAGCGACCTCTTCCCATGGCCCTGAACATCAAAATGACAAAGTGCCACCAAGCCATGAGATACTGATCCCTGTTGTTTACTGTTCATTCCTGATCACCTAACACTGCTCTGGGGAATGCTTATGAACCAAACTCTGGGTTATAATAGGATCACCTGGGTTGGAAGCTATAAAAACACATATTTCTGACCCCATAGATTCTAATTCAATAAATCTGGAACCCAAGAATATGCATTTAAAAAAGTATCTCCAGGTGGTTTGGATGTGAAGCTTTCAGGGACAAAGTTTCAGTACTCTAGCTTACACTACTCAGTACGAAAGTGTGGCGTCCCAAACAGTAAATAGTTAAGGCTTTGTGGGCTATGTGGTTTCTGTTGCAACTACTTATCTCTGCCTTGTACTGTGAGAACAGCCACAGAAAACACATAAAGAACAGGGTGGCTATTTCAATAAAACTTTATTGACAAAACCAGGTCAGATCTGGCCTGCAGCTGTAGCTTGCCAACTCTGGGTTCCAGTGACATCCCATAGGAAGACATCCAATGGAAAATGTGTTTTTCCCCTAGGCTCATCCAGACACACTTTGACACTGTTGTAGACAGCCCTGGGCCAACATGGCCCTTCTCCGGGGCCTCTTTCTGTCCCCCTAGAGTTTTGTTTGTAAATAATGGGGCCCTGAAAACTTATACAGGACCAAGAGCTCCAAAGCTGCCTAAAGGTCTCCATCCTGCCTCTGCCAAGGTTTGCAAGCACGGTCTCATTTAGGGCTCCAGTAACCCAGCAGACATTTGGGGAAATGTACTTTGGTTCTATCTTACAGATGAGGCCAGAGAGGCTCAGCAGGGTTTGCACTGCCTCCGAGGTCAAAAAGCTGAGTGCCAAGCCTGGCCCAGACCCATGGGACCTGCTTCCCTGTCCACTGTTCTCCTTGTGATCCAGCCTGGAGGAAAGGGCCTACAGGTCTCTGACAGGGTGTCCACTTACATTTGTGAAGGTCCTCTCTCGTACCATGTCCCCATGGCTATGACCAGCGCCCCCACACCCCCTCTTGGAGTGTTTCTACTCCCTGCTGGACAGATGGGGGGGGGCTGGAAGTCTCAGGCAGCTCAGAGGCAAGATGGAGACCTTTTGGCAGCTTTGGAGCTCTTGGTCCCCATTATTTGCAAACAAAATTCTAGAGGAGCAGAAGAGGCCCTAGAGAAGGGCCACGCTGGCCCAGGGCTATCTGCACCAGTTTCAGAGCGTGTCTGGCTGAGTCTCAGGGAAGAAGACACACTTGTGAATGCATTTCTTACTATTTGTATGTGACTGAATTGAAGATGTTATCAATTGTATAATAAGACACACCATTACTCTATAAACTGCTGAGAGAGAAAAACATGCTGCCAATCAGACTAGGACACACCTCAAGCGTTATGGTAACTTTGCTTTGAGAGATTTTAAATGTGAAAAAGTGTCTTAGAATCAATGACGTAAGGCCTGCCTCCCAGTTCGTTACAGATGTGACCTTCCCTCGCCACTCCACAGGAGGACACCTGGCCCCAGCCCTGCCTCTCCTCTGTGACGCAGGAGAAACAGAAGCCCAGAGGGGCCCCGTCTCCCTGGCCCCCTCCACTGCCAGCAAAACGTCTGAGTGGTCGACTCGCCTGCCCCGAGCCCCATCCTGGGGTTTCTCTCGCAGCTGGGAGAGTGCCGCCGTTCACCCAGCAAAAGGGCAAAATGTGGGAGAAGGCTGGAAATGTAAACTTTCCAGAAATGTTGAAGCAATGGAGGAAAAAACACTTATAAAATTCTGTGAAGAGACTTTGTAGGTTTAGGAACAAACATTATGTGTAACTTGATTTGATTATGAAACAATCACAGACAGCATAATTAAAAGATAACAAAAACCTGTATAAAATTGGAAACGTTTCAGAAAAATGTCATCTATTTTTTTTTTTTTTCATATTGAAGAAAACCACCCCAAAAAAGTCAAAGGACAGGGGAGATGACTTCCTTCCCACTTCCCCTTTTCTTCCCTAACTCCCTTCATGGTTGCTGGAACCACAGGAAGTCAAGGACTTGTGTCTGTTCAAGCCACCAGCCCCTGGGCAGACCCGCCCTCACGTCAGGTGTGCAGAGCAGAGCTGGGGCCAGTGACGTCAAGAGTACCAGGCCTCCATGCTCCTGCGAACCAGTGGTCCACTGTGCCTCATTCTGCCCTGCAGGGACTGGGGCAGGGTCAGCCTGGCACAACATGGGAGGCTGGGGGCTTTGCACCTTGGAGAAAGCGAGGGTCTTCGACACCACCTGTGTCTTTGGAGTCTGGAATGTAAGATCCAAAGACCCAACAGAGACTGATCACTCTGAAAATGATATGATTTTCTGAAAAAACAATAATCTTTTGTAGAACAATAGCTGGGAATTTTAGATCTTGTCCAGGGAGCTCGGGAGATTCCAAGATCAGGAAAGGTATCATTGGATGCCTCTCTGCTGTCTGGACCAGAGGTTCTCAAAGTGGGCCCCGCTGCCCCAGCCACACCTGGGAACTCACTGGAGACACATTTTCAGGCCTTGCCCAGCCTGAAGCATCAGAGTTGGGCTGAGGCCCGAGGTGTGCCTTGTCACAAGCCCCCCAGTGACTGGGACGCCCCCACTGTGTGAGAGTCTAGCGTGGCTGCCAGGCTCCGGCCTGGCAACCAGCCAGGACACGGTCCTTGCAGACAAGCTTTCTCTGCCCATGTCCGCTTCTGACAGCGGCCAGGAATCCAGCCCCCAGGGTCCCCCACTTAACCCTGGTTTCTCTGCTGGCAAACTAAGCTTTCCACAGCCACACACACCAGGTCACAGACCCCTGATGCTCTACTTGGTTCCAAAGCGACTGGCTCTGAACACAACACACCTTCACTTCCTCTATGCTCTGACAGCGCAGCCTGGAGGAGCAGGAAGGGACTAAAAGGTCACAGTGGCTCCTGACCGGACAGGCAGTGGGGAACGAGAAAGAAAAACGCAGCCTGAGTAACTCAGACCTGAAATAACTACAAAGCAAACAATAACAAACTCCCTAATCCGGCCTTTGGCTTGTGACACACATAGCTTGGAGAGGCCAGGGGCCAGGAGCGAGGAGCAGGTCATGTTCAGACCAGCCCACATCCTCGGGGTTAGTGCCGGCACAAATGATCTATGCCACAAAGGGGATGGCAGTCCCCACACAGGCAGGCAGCTCCCACCTGCACCTCGGTGGTGGCCACTACTCCCAGGGAAGGACCATTTTCCTTTCCTTATCAGCCCGTTGCAGGAAGGTGTGTATTAAATTATATTTAAGTCAAGGCCTTGTGGGAGGAGCTCAGGAGTTCTCCATCACTCCCAGCTGCTGGCTGCCGGCTCCCTGGGACACGACCCATGTCCCTTACTCCAGGGCTGCTTTAGTCTCTGGGCTCCTGGGCCCAGCTCCCTCTCATTTTACACAAGAGCTCTTCAGCCAAGACACGTCCCCAAGGCCACTGGCTGCCTCCTGGCAGCTGCCAGCTCCTACCTACCACAGACTCTTCAGTGCCCTTTGTAACGACAGAATGACCTGCCCTATTTCTGGTCCCACACTTTAACCCACCCTCTTGCTTAAACACATCAGCTTTAGTCCCTGTCACCACTGGAAAACCAGTCCCACCAGGCCAGGGACACATTTCTACAGGGAATGTGCTGCCTTTGCTCTCTGGGCAGCCTGAGCTGGTGCCTAGACTCGGAGGAAAGGGAGGCATCTGTGACCAGAAGCTCTTGCTGGCGGTGGCACTGGGGCTCCGTGGGAAGAGGATCTGCTCAGTGAGGAGTGACCTCACGCTGCTTCTCAGGGACTCTGGTTGGGCTTCCTCTGAGTGGTGGCTGCAGAGTCAGCCCTAAGAGGGGCTGAGGGAGGAGGGTGCCCACCTATGCCCCAGCCTGCCCAAGCCGGTCACGAGGCAGAGCGCCACCTACCCAGGTCGGCGTCGGTGCTCTTCTTCATGTCTTTCTGCAGCCTCCGGGTCTGCTCTTCCAGCCTGCAAGGCAGGGACCGGCCTCACTGGCTGCTTCGGGCCCTTCCTCCCCCTCTCCCTGCAGTAGGCCTGAGTGGCTAGGGATGCTGCCCGGGAGAAGCAGGGGCCCTCCCCCACAGGGACTTTCCCGCTGACTGAAGTGCCACTACACACTCTGCATGAGGCCACGCACCCAAAGGCTACGAGTTAAGGACTCTCACGCGGCCACCTGCTGGGGACAGCAGGGGCTGGCAGCCTGGTGAAGTTGCTGCCCTTGGCCCCCAGGGTGCGAACGGGCAACACTGCAGCCCATGAAGAGTGGCGAGCAGAGGAGGCCTCGGGAGGGGACACCCCGCATGCAGGAGGCTCCTGCCTGTCCCACCTCCCGCTTCCTCCTCCTGGGGTTTGACACTCACTGCTGGAGTTTTCCATACTCCCTCTCAAAGTCTCTCTCCACCTGCAAGAAAGAGATAACTCAATCACCGGAGCAATGACAACACGATGGAAAATGTCTCCCGGCCTCCTGCCGCCCTGTCCACACCCTCCCCTGGTTCACACAAGCACCGGCAGATCATTAACGACACAGGATCCCTGCGCTCCCAAATTAATGAGCTGTTTGACTTAGGGAGAAAGACACCCCTCCCAGATGGGCCGGCCAGGCAGGCGGCAGCAGGCTGTGGCTCTGTTCTGCCACCTCGGAGCGGAGCGAGGCCCTAAGTGGTGCGCCCTCTTCTCTCCCTGCCCTGGGGGCAGCCAAGGTGCTCCCAGTGTGACCAAATCCCACCCGGGGGGGCAGGGGCAGCAGGGCACATAGGAAGAGGGCTGTCGCTGCCACTTGCTGGCTGTGAGACCAGACCAGGTCACCTCCCCTCTCGGCCTGGCTTTCCTCGCAGGGCCCACCTGTCAGCCACAGGAGAGATGGTGCTCACCGCCCTGTGAGCAGGGAGGTACCAAACACAAACGCTGTCACTGCTCACTCGGGTGAGGCTCTCTACGTTTGTGACTCGTGGGCAAACTCTCCGGCGCCAGCAACGCTGAACCTGAGCGGGCGTGAGCCCTGAGCCAGCACTGCCACTCGAGGGGAAGATGAGTAAAGTCCAGCATTTTCTCTAGTGCCCGAACTTCCCTACCTACAAACTGGAGTGTCAACAACGGCCTCTCGAGGGGCTGGGATGTGGAGTAAATGACATCTGAGAGGCTAACAGAGGAGACTAGGATCCAGCAAGAGCTCATCTTAAGAAAAATATTCCAGATTCAATCCCACCAAAGCACATATTCTTGATAAAAGTTTAAAGTGTTACCCACCCCAGGGGATTTGCGCTTTGCAGGAATCCAAGTCTTAGCTAGAGGAAGAGGAGGCTGGTATGGCTGCGGGGGAGACTTGCTTTGGTGCAAATGAGCCCTGCCTGGGTCCTTCAGAGCCTGCACTTCGGTCTGGTCCTCTCCCCGGCAGGACCACGGAGGATGGGCAGAGACAGTAAGATGTGGACTCTGATACTCACTGTGGAGCCCTAAAACCTAACACTTCAGAGCCTCACTTTCTTTCCTAGTAAAATGGGATAATTTCATTTAGTCATTCCCCGTGTAAACTTGAAATGGCTTACAAGGAAATGGGGATAATGTCAACCTTCGTGGCTTATCTGAGGATTAAAGCAGGAGTACACACAGAACACACAGCAAGGCACCCGGCCATGACTACACTCACCAACTGTTCGATTCCTCATTCCTCTCCTGCTCACGGAGGTGCTGGGAGGACCAGAGTAGTACAGACCTGCAGCTGGCCTATAAACCCTTTCTTCCTTTTTTACTTCAATTGTAGAGATGGGGTCTCGCTATGTTGCCCAGGCTGGTCTCAAAGTCCTGGCCTAAGTGATCCTCCCCCTCAGCCTCCCAAAGTGCCAGGATTACAGGTGTGAGCCAGTATGCCTGGCCGGGGCTGTAACCCCTTTAGCAGAGAGGAGGGGCAGCCCAAGCACACAGGAAACTGGCAGCTGGGAAACCCTGATTTTGGCTGAGCCTGGGGTGCTGTGCCTAAGTACCGCAATAGTGCACTAACTCCCTCCTTCACTGGACACAGCTCCTCTCACCTCGTGAGACAAGACAGCCGAGTAGTGTCTTTACATATTAAAAGTATTTATTTCTAGAAAGATGAAACTAAAACGAAGCATTTCTTGGCCAGAATCAAGCTCTCCCAGAGGTGCAGAGCACATAGTAGGTGCCCTCGGGGAGGGGAGGCGCTAGCGTTTGCAGAGCCCCAGAGCGGCAGCCCGCGGCTCCCTGTCCTGGAGTCTGCAATCCCCACCGTATGCTGATGTGTGTGGGATGTCAGGAACACCTGGTCTCCCTGGCTGGGGACTGCTTGGGCTTGCACAGGGAGGGACTTCAGGTTTCCAACTCGGTCAGATTGGAACATTCTGGTTGATGAGAAACTCGAGGTCTCACTGTGGAAGCATGTCAGCAGTGGCAGCGCCATTCTTCTATTTTACTTGCTGCTGCGTAAGGCAATGTGACAACCTAAGAGGAGTTTATGAACCTTTCACCTCCCGTTTCCAGCAGCCAGCATGGCTTCTATGACCCACTGGCCAGAGAGCTCTCTCCTCCTAGGGAACATTGCCAGAATTTCAGCCCCAGATGATGGCTCAGGGACTAAAGGGACACACTGGAGTCTCATTCTGAGGTATATGCATTCTGAGGAAAAGAGCCAAATGGAAAAGATCTGAGTATCTCTGAGTGCTTGATGCCTTTGCCAGAAAGACAGCTGGAGCCCAGTCAGCAATGCAAGTTCAACACACGTGCACGGACCGCCAGGGACCAGGACGGCCAGGGGCCAGGCCGGCGAGGTCAGCGCAGGGAGAACAAGTGCTGACGACCACCCTTGGCTGAGCCCTGCATTTATTCTCTGAGGCAGGGCTGTTCACTGCTCTATCCACAGCGCCTGGTCAGGCCCTGCCATGGAGCAGGAACTCTGTATTCGTTAAATGAATCAACAGGCTGAGTCCCCCCACAAACTCACACTCACAGGGAAGGGAAGGGCTGGGGCTCCAATCCTAGGACGGGGTGTGACTGATCAGAGCCTGGACGTTCAGGATTCCGGGAAGCCCCTCCTTCACGGACACTCTGGGTGGAAAGCGGCTGCCTTTGCCTATGCCCTGACATGATTAAGGACAATCAATGAGGCCAAGGGCCCCGTCACTTGGCACATGGACGTCCTTCTCAAGTGGAAAGGTTGTGTGGCCAGACTCTTTTTGGCCCTGACTTCACAGAGCACCTACCCAGCTAGGAAGGTGCTTTCTGTGTGCACGAGACCCAGGGTAACCCTTGCTTCAGAGGGGCGTGGTGAGCAAAGTTTCAAAGAGCTCTTCCAGCCTCCCAGGTTACACAGCGAGGTGCAGCTGCTTCTCTCCACACAGAGATGCTCCCCCACTTTATGGGACCTGGGGAGCGAGAGGGGACTAGGCAGAGGTTAGGATCGGGAGGGGAGAGCTTTTGTTCTTTCGGCTCAGTTCTGATGGTCAGCCCCTGCTGAGAACACGCCATGCCAGCCAAAGCCTCCGCGATAATGGAATTTGCGTACCTGGGCACAGGGGAACAGGGAGGGCACAGACACAATGCTTTCTTTGTGTCTGACTGTGGGTGCCTTGAGCCAAAAACCTCCTGAAACTCCCTGAAGATAACATGAGCATTTCTTCCCATGACAGGGGTGCCACAACTTCCAATAACCCGGGAGCCACATCTGCTCCACTCCCCGAAAGTGCCTGGGCAAGAACAACAGCGTGCGTCATCGCTGTTCAGGGGCAGCTGCCAGAGATGCTGAGACAACTGCATAGCCCGGGCCTGTTCTGGGGGCCGGGAGGGAGTGGTAGGTGGAGAATGAGACTGAAGAGGCAGGGTCTCACTACATTTGCTCTAGTGCCTTCTGGGGAGTGGGGGTCTGCGCCAAGGGAGCAAGTCACTTTACTCTGAGCTTTGATTCCCTGCGAGAGACCAAAGGCCCAGCCTGCAATGTCATTGTACTGGGGAACTGAGCTGCTTGGGACAGTTTATAAAGAGAGTCAAATCAACTAGCTTTCTATAAGGTACTTAGTATCTACTGAGGGATTATGTGCCAGACACTGTGTTGAGTGCCATCCACATCTGCAACACAGGCACCATCGTCATCTTCATTTTACAAATCAGAAAATGAAGTCTCCAAGAAGCGGATGGGATGGGAATCCAGGCTGCCAGCCTCCCAGCCTTGGCTTCTTAACTGCTACCCGATAGCCAGTCTGTCTGGGGGAGCTGATGTCATAAATTAGGGGGCCAGGATTTCCTCTCAAATGAGACAGAGGCAAGGAAGGGAAGAGAGAGGCCACGCTGCATCTGTCCTTCCCTTTGCAGTCCTTGCCATTCCTCACATTAAAGGACCCAAAGATTTTTCCATCAACAAACTCTGGCAAAGCAGCTAGAAAGTGCATTCTAGCCTATACTTTTCCATGGAGAACAAAAGGCCATTTCTATAAGGGTTGGGGTGTTGGGAGGGCTTTTTGCTTATTTGCTTGTTTTTTTGCAGTGAGTGGTGGGAATAAAAGACCCTTCTCGAAACCATTTCTCTTGCAGATCTGCCATGGATTAAACTCTGGAGACCCAGAGCCACACCTTCCCACTTCCTGTAGCCGGCCAGACCCAACACTCGCACGCCCAGATTCTTTGGGCTTCAGCTGAGAGCCTCCACAGATGGTCGGCCGCTGCATGGGAGGTAAGTGCCCACGACCTGCCTCTGCAGGAAGTAGGGAGGGCTCTTTTAACTCGGGCCCATTTCCTTTCAAGTGACCTAACTTTGGAGTTCCCAAAGATGGAGACATTGGTCAGGTGCGTGCTGAACTTCCCGCCAAACAGAAGCAATATCTTTCCTGCAGTTCTGAGAGCTGAGCCAAGCGGGGAAGAAGTAAGACGAGGAGAACCGTCAGGGGCTGGTATGACAGAGACAAGGACCTCCACTGCATGGACTCTCTAGAGTTGTCACATAAGAGGTTCTACAGTCATGGTCCCCCATCTGAAAACCAAGAGACTCACTCAGCTATGTGGGGGAGGGTCCTGTACTAGACCTCTCAAATCCTGGGAGGTTGTCACGGCCAGAGGCAGCAAAAAGCAATGGAAAGAGTACTGACCATAGACTCAAACCTGAGTTTTGTTTTTTTGTTTGTTTGTTTTTTGGTTTTTTTTGAGACAAAGTCTTGCTCTGTCACACTGGCTAGTGTGCAGTGGCATCATCATAGTTCACTACAACCTCAAACTCCTGGCCTCAAGCAATCCTCCTGCCTCAGCCTCCCAGAGTGCTAGGATTATGGGCATGAGCCATCGCGCTGAGCCTTAAACCTGAGTTCTAACTCCAGCTCTGCCAGTACAGGGCTTTTAGAACTGTAGAAAGTCACTGCAACCCTTTCTAGGAGCTTGTTGTCCTCATCAGGAGGGTGGACCAGATGACCTCTAACTTTCTAAGAGTCTATGATTCTCTTCCTCTCCCATCCTGGAGATAAAATAGGGATAAAAACCGAGGGCTCAAAAGGGAGGTGGCGGGATTCAGTCATCCTCTCCTGCTGAGGGACTCTGGATCACCACCAAGAACGCATCTGGAGTGGAGAGAAATGCACCCAGGCCACCTGGAAAAGCTTCCTGGTCTTTTCCGCAGTTGAGGTACCAGAAGTAAAGGCCTGGGGTGTGTCTTTGGTGGGGGTCTCTGTTTCAGGGGTCCTCTTAGGAAAGGTATAGACTGCTCAGAAGCAGTGCCTTCCTCCCACCTCTGCAACCTACCTCTTCTACATGCCCAGAGACGGGGAAGGGACCAGGCTGACCTCAGGGGGAAAAGGACCCTTGGAGAGGAGGCCCCTCCAAACCCCGTTCTACACGAGGACATAGATCTCCACGAGTGGGAATAAGGCCCAGGTTGTGTTGCTGTCTTCCCAGCCGCAAGATGTGTTGAGTCAAAGCTCTGGTGCTGTGCAAAGGCCACGTGACATAGAGCTGAATCTCAGAGCAAAACAATTGGGGTACTCACTGTTTTGGGAACAATCTGTTTCTTGGGCTGCGTAATCTTAAAAGGAATCCTATAAGAGAAAGAGACAAAGAAGGATATTGTGAGAAATGGGGAGGGATGTGGCTGAAAAAGTCAACATGGTATAGGCCACTTTTCCTCCAGGAGGGTGAGGAAGAGTGGCGGTGGCTCGATCTTGAACTTGGACCCCCTGCCTTGGCAGGCATAGGAACATCAGCACCCTGGCTTGATTCTAGGAGAGGGAACCTGCCATCAACAGCGTCACACACAGGTTCCTGGGCACCACCTTCTGCCCCTGAGCACCTCTCCTACAACAGCCTGTCCTTTAAATACCCTGAAAAGGTACGGGCAGGAAAGGGGAGACACCCTGCAAATCACAATCATTATAAACCTGTGTCTTGAGGGGCTGCAAAGTCAGAAATTACAGCCTCATGGTAATAGCTATCATCTTTGAAAACATGCCTTTATAAAAACAGCACAAAAATCACTTATAGTCTATATTAGGAGTTTCACGACTTCCCTGTAGAGGGACAAACTGGATCTGCAGAGCTTCTTGGGAGGATGGAGGTCGGGGAGAGATGACAAATTATAGGGACATTAATGACTGGTTGGGCTGGGCTATTCCCTGGGAAAACTGACAAAATCTAAATGTGGCTAACTTGCAGAAGAATCTGAAATGCAGCCTGAGTCTGCCTTGAACTTGCTCTGAAGCCCTGCACCTCAGACTCCCCACTTTGAAATGGAAGACAGGCAGGCACAACAGAAGGGAAACCACTGAGCAGGCTGCCCTCTGGCAGGTGACAACTGCACTAGGACTTCACTTACTACTCTCTAAAGTGAGTGCATTAAACTAAGTAATTCAGAAACTTCCTCAAGGCATTGAATATGCTCAAGTTATCCGATTCTGAGAAGAGCTGTGGCCAGGCCAGACAGCCAACAGAGCACCTCCCAGCAGCTCCAGAAAGGGCAGGCTCCCCGGGCCCAAGCAGGAAGAGTCAAGAAGCCCTGGGATCGGCTGGGGAAAGGTGCTCATTCAGCCACTCTCACTTCTCTCTTTTCCTTTCAGCTAAGCCAGCAGAAGCTCTTCAATTCAAACTGCCCGCTTCCATACTGCACCCGATCCACTTCCCTCCACGCCCGCCTGAACCTGCTTTCATTTGGCCCACACTGACCAATACTGTCGCTAAACCCAACGGTATAATTAACCACCGATAATAACCCCAGACAACGATCCGGTTGAGGGGATGGGCCAGCCTGAGTCACAGTGGTTTATATTTAATTTCTGGAGGACATCCTGTTTATTGTTAACGCAGTCCCATAATTTGGGAGTGTTAACCCTTTGGGGGCTGGCCGATTCATGTACCTTCTACAAATAAATAATCCCTGGGTATATGATTGCCAGAGGGGAATGAGGTAAGGTATGGAACTGAAAAGGAAAGAAAAAGTGAAATTGCTATTTCCCTTTCTCAGACCTAAAGAGGAAAGGTTCAAGGGGAAACAAGTCCTCTCCCCAAGCCCCGGGTTAGTCTGCCCACAATCAGGTATTGGAGCTGACACATAAAATGGTTTGGGACAGTGAACAATTGTCCTCGAGGACCGTTTTGGAGACAGTGCAAATGAGGTCCTGGTGGCATTGCAAAAACACTGCTCGTGCTCCGTGGGAAGATGCTGCAGTGGAAAAGCTCTAGACCAGATCTCAGAAAACCTGGTCTCTGCCTCTGACTAGTTTTGTGATTTAAACAAATCACAATCTCTGGAGCCCAGTTTCTTAAACTGTGAAACAAAAGAGTTAGACTACATGGTCCCTTCTGCTCGTCTAAAATGGGAATTCTAAACTGATCTCCATTCCAAGAATATGGGGAGTAGGATGAGAATTCTATGTGGTCTTCAAAATGCTTCTTGGAGTCTAGTACCGCAGACTCGGGACTGAGAGATTAGGAACTTACATTCCATTATTTGTGGTGCCACAGCCTCTCTCTAAAGCTTAATTTAGAATCACGGTATTTTTAGAACTGTAAGTTACCATAGAAATTTTTTTGCCAGTTCAACCCTCTCATTTTGTAGACGAGGAAGCAGACCTGGGGAGGTTCAGTGACTTGCCCAGGGTCGTTCTGCTGGTTCACAAGAGGACTTAGGAACAAACAGCCCCCCTGGCTGACGGCCCAGTTTCCTCTCTACTACTCACAGCTCAACGCTCTTTTCACATGAGCTTGTTATATATATTTGATCGAAATACCTAGTTTTACAGTACTGTGGAATTAGAAGGGCCCCACCATTCTTTAAAAGACTGGAAATTTAACAGGAGCGCGCTGATGCAGAACTGGGTGCTCTGGCACAAATAAGAGGTCACGTTACTATGCAGACCGAACCAGGTCTCTCTTTGTATTTCCATCACAGTTCCTGCCAATCACACATAACTTTATCATACTATTCTGACGATTTTTCATCTCACCTGCTCAAAAGCCCGCTCTTCCTACTACAACACCACCTTTTTAAAAATAAGCTTTTTAAAGTTAGATTTTTGTGAAGGAAGTATATAATTTCCACGTCCCCCACACTTGGTTTCTCCTTCTGATATTAGCACATTTGTCACAATTAACCAATATTGATCTATTCAAGACTATATTCAGACTTCCTCAGATTTCCCTAGTGTCCTTCTTTCAGCTCCAAGATCCCATCCTGGTTACATTTAGCTGCTATGTTCCCTTAGGGCTCCTCTAGGCTATGATAGTTTCTCAAACTCTCTTTGTTTTTGGTGACCTTGACAGTTTTAAGGAGTGCTGAGTAGGCATTTTCTAGAATGCCCCCCAACTGGAATTTGCCTAATGTTTTTCTCCTGCCTAGACTGGAGTTATGGGTTTTGGGGAGGAAGATGACAGAGCTAAAGAACCATTGTCTTCCATGAAATCGACATGACTTATTCTTGTTGCCAGGGACCCTGATCATAGGCTGGAGCAGTCTGTCCCAGCTTCTTCCATTATAATGTTGCTACCCCCCACCCCTTTCCCTATTGTACTCTTTGGGAGAAAGCCACTATGCAGAGCCCTAATTATTATGTATTCAATCATTTATCAGTATAGATGCATAGATATTCACCTTGCATCGTGGGTTATGACCTAATACTAATTGCTCAAACTGTTCTAGCTTTGGCCACTGACAGCTTTTTCAGTTGGCTCCTACGTCCTTTTGACATATCCGTGTGTGTGTGTGTGTGTGTGTGTGTGTGTGTGTTGTCTAGCACTTCCTTTCTGGTACTATAAGATGCTCCAGGCTCAGCTTGTCCATTTCCTGCCCCAGTCCTAGAATCCATGGAGGAATTCAGCATTCAACAAGCCTCTATGATATGGTCTCATCTCCTTTTAATCTTCTTTCCCATTCACCCAATACAACTACCCTGATTCAGCCAAGTGGATGTTAATTCCCCAAATCTAGACTCCTTAACAATTTCCTATCCCAAACTGGGATGTGTTTGAATGCATGTCATCAGGACAACTTGGACTACCCATACGGCATTCCCACCCACGTGGAATGTCTTCTCTCCCCCTGGCCTAAGCAAAGCTGTTCTCAAGTCTAAAACCTCACTTACCTTCTTCTAAAACATCTAAGACTTATTTGGCATTTAAAAATACTTTACAGTTAATTACAGTTTATCCCCTTAAAAAGTAAAATATGCTCATCAGAAAAAATAACTTTTTAAAAAGTTATAAAAGTAAGAACATGCTATCAGGGAAAACTTGAGAAATATAGAAAAGGAAAAAGAGAGAGGGAGGAAGGGAGGGAGAAAAAAAGGGGAAACCCACTCCCCTATCCATGCCTCGTATCTAATAGATGACCAGGTTAATGTTTTGGCGTTGTTAATTATATTTTTAAAATCTGCAGAAAGACAAACAACTGAAGCAAACATGCCAAATGTTAGTAGTGGTTAATTCTGGGTGGTGAGAATATGATTACTGTTTTCTTCTTTGCACTTTCCATATTTTCTCAAATAAACCAAAAAAACCTTTTTTTTTCTTGACTACAAAAATAGCACCTGATCAGTGTTAGAAACTTGGAAGACATGGAAAAACACAAAGGGCAAAACATAAACACACAAAAAAAATCCCAAAGGAAAAAATAAACAATAATATCCTGAATCACAGTGTGTGTGTGTATCTTAATATTTACATAGCTTCTAAAAGGCAATATATATCATGAATTTATTTACTTATTTATTCATTCATTTTTTAGAGATAGAGTCTTGCTCTGTCACCCAGGCTGTAGTGCAGTGGCATGATCATAGCTCACTGTAACCTCCAACTCCTGGGCTCAAGCAATCCTCCTGCTTCAGCTTCCTGAGTAGCTAGGACCACAGGCATGCACCACTATGACTGGCTGATTATTTTTAATTTTTTGTAGAGACAGGGGTCTCACTATGTTGCTTGCCCAGCCTGGTCTCAAATTTCTGGCCTCAACCGATCCTCCTGCTTCAGACTCCCAAAGTTCTGGGATTATAGGCATGAAACACCACACCTGGCCTCATGAAAGTTTTTATATGCCAATTGTCATTTCTCATCATTCTGATTTTTAAGAGAAATAAAAACTAGTGGTACAGGTATACAATGAAAATGTACCACTAGCTTTATTTCTGTAACCCATGTCATATACTGTTGGTTATTTCAACTGTTTCTATTTTCTTCTGTTAAAAACAAAAAGCCTAATAGCAAAATCTTTACCCACACCAAAGATTAGTCACACAGGATCAAGTCTCACAATTGGAATTGCTGGGTCAAAGGATATATACACCGTCAAAGCTTTGATACATTTTGCCAAACTGCCCTAGAGACAGATTGAAATAGGTGACGTTCTTTGAAAGATTGGAACAGTTTACACTTTAGCACCTGCCCTTTTGGCCTATATATCAGGATTTTTTCCTGGCTTAGTATTTGCCTTTCACTTTTATACATTTGTGTTTAACATACAGAAGCCTCTGATTAGTATGAGGTCAAATATACCAAATCCATCTTTTCTTTTGTGATTTCTTCTTTTGAGGTCACACTAAGACCTGCTTTCTCTACACTGACAACTTACAACTATTCACCTATATTTACTTTAATACTCTTATGACTTCCTTTTATTCATCTAAATTCTTTGATCAAGGTTATACAAATGCATAGTTCAGTAAGGTAACACAATTTATTAAGTAAAATACTAGTTCCTAGGCCTGCTCAATCTCATTTGCCAGAGACAACCACTTTCAACTCAGCTATTTTTTGGCATTTCCTTTTGCATATCTAAAGAAAAATGTTTATTTTGCTACTTATTGATTGCTAGGTTTTTAGGTACTAGCTATTGACTTTTTACTTTGGAACATGAGGATTTAACTAATCGAACCAAACACTATCAGGTGTCCATCCCTTCTCCACAGACATACTCGCAATTCCCCTTCACAATATAGTTATACTATAACTTGGTTTGGTCAATATTAAGTAAACTATTATGAGGATATTGTGATTTGTTTTCCATCCTGCATCTGGTGGCCAGGAGGCTGTTCAGCCTGTCACAGTTTCAGAAGACTACAGTTCCAGATGATGTCCTGAATCACAAGCTCATGAGAGCTCTCAAGCCAAACCCCCAACTAAGCCACTTCCAAATTCCTGACTAACAGAAACTGCTTATTGTTGTTTCAAGCTATTAAGTAATGGGGTATGCAGCAGTACACAGTCAACACTGCATACTTTACTTTCCCTAAAATTGGTACTTGTCACTTGTCTTTCATTTAATTATCTATGTACTTATCCCTAATTCAATCTGTGGTCTTCACTCTCAATACACTCATTCATACCAGGTATTCTCTCATTTGCATCTTCTTGAAGCACTCTGCACTGGTGCTGCTGGCCTGCTCCAATCTGGACTGGCTCCCCACTACCCAGGGTGTGCCACTGTCATCCTCGGGTCTCCCTTCACCATCCTCACTGGGATTCCTTTGACTTCTCCCCCATGATTTCCTACTGGCCCTCCTCTTATTGGTTTACTCTTTATTTTGGTGGAAACAAAGCATGTGGGAGATCATTTTTGAGACTCTGCATAGCCTAAAAACTTTTTATTCTATCCATAGGCTAGTTTGGCTGGATATAGAATTATAGGTTGGACATATTTCTTTCAGAATTTCCAAGGCATTGCTTCCCTGTCTTCTAACTTCCCAATACTGCTGTTGTGGTGAAGTCTGAAGTCAGTGATTCCTATCCTTTGTATGTGACCTATTTTTTACTTTCTTTATGCAATCTTACAGAATCATATGTTTATCCCGGTGTTGTAAAACTTCACAAGGATGTGCTTTGTGGGTTTATTTTCATCCATAGTGCTGGGCCACAGGACTGTTTACCCTGACAATTTATAATCTTTAGTTTTAGGATTTAAAAAAAAAAAGCAAAACTTCGTTGTTCATTTCTTCTCCTCCGTTTTCTGTTTCTTACTTCTGAAATTGGTATAATTTTGATGCTTGACCCTCCTTGGCTGGTCTTTCAATTTGTTTTTTCATTTCTGCTACCAGATTTTTAATTTCCAAGAGTTTTTAATTTTCAGGATGTTTTTAAAAAGAAATATACTGTTTTTATTTCATAGATGCCTTATCTCACTGAGGATCTTAACGACAGCTTTAAAAAATTTTCTTCACACTTTATAGTCTGTTTCCCTGCAAGTTGCTCCTTTTGTTTGTTGAGTCTTTATTTTTCATACTAATGCTTTCCTTGGATGAGTGGTAATTCTTGGCTACCTACTCACATATATGACAGGAGACAAAAACGCTGACTATAAGCTCTCAGCACATGGATCATGTTTGCCTACTGCACAGTGTGATTTGGCCAGTTTTGTGGGGAACTCCCTGATGTCAGTATTCTTTTATCTTTTCTCCTAGGCAGGTAAAATTCCCTAGAGAAGATTCTTCCGTTCTCCTGGTTTGGGCATAAAGGCCCAGCTCAGTGTTTCAGGAGCTCAGTGAATTAAAAGAGACCTAGTGCATGCGTGTGTGTATGCATGTGCGTGTGTATGAATGTACACCCGTGTGTATCAGGGGTAGGGGAAGTGGTGTTTTTGCACTCCATTTGCACACATTCACTTCATCCTGATTTCACTATGGTGGTCCTACCCTCAACTGTGCCTGATGCTCTCTCAGAGGTAGGTCTGGGTTTTATGGGCCTGAAGCTTATACAAAAGTGCATGCCCCTTTAAAGAAAAAGAATATAAAATTACAAATATAAAAATAGGCATGAAAGTGAATACTGAGGCAGAGAAAAGAGCATAACAAATGACAAGTTTCAAAAGCTGACAAATGACATAAACATCAGAAAATCAAGAATAACCTAATATTTTTATTAATCATCTGCTTAACACACCTTTTTCCTACATTTTTTTGGCTGCATAGTCTTTGATTGCCTCTTCATGTGACACAGAGTTGGTAGCATCATTTTCTTAGAGTGAAAAGAAAGATAATTCTGTCTTTCCTCCAGTATGGTTGATTGAAATTTGTTTTCTACTACTGACAGTTTAGAAAAGCCTTTGTTCAGCTTATTGGTAATATATAAGTATAAATTTTATAAGAATTAGGAAAATCTCAAGTTTCTTCCACAAATAAAACTAAGGTTTCAGGGCATATTTCAAGATTTCTTGTACGGTGACTAATTTTAAATGCTCTTTGAATTAATGACAGCAACCAGTTTGTCATTAATGTCCTTGTAGGAGGGCATATCACAAGTTCTGTTATTTTCATTATGTCTTTCATGTTAAATTTACCAGAAATCTCAATGTTTTATCAATGTGTTTATATGATTTGCTCCTCCTCTTCATTAACTGGATTACCAAACAATCATTACTCCTATTTAAAACTGCTCTCATTCTCTTACTGGATCACTAGCTTTGGTACAATCTGAAATGTTCTGTTACACCTTGCTTGATTTCAGAATGATTTCTACCAATTTAATTGCTCACCTTTAACACTTTTGCGTTCCATTATTTATCCACTTTTCCCCTTAGTTTTTAGCTAAATTTAAAGATGACCAAAAAGGTACCCTTCACATATTTCCAACTCAGGAGTCTATAATTTCTTGTTTTATTAAAAAATTTCCAAAAATGTCTTCACAAATTTCAGTTAAAACAGTATACTCCCAACTCAACCCTTTAGTCCTATCCCAAAATATGGCTAGGCTACCCCAAAGCTCCCTGATAAGAGGGATAGTATGAAGAAGAAAGAGCAGGAAGGGAAGACAGAGGTTTTCTTAACTAATTTCAGTATAAATACTTTGTTTTTAGTTTACCAAAACACAGGCCCATATCATGGCTATGGCTCCTTGCAGGGCCTTGAACAAGGCTGACATAAGTCAGGGGCTGTAAAGCTTAAGCTTTATTAGTTCCATGCAGTAAATACACCTTTCCGTCCCCTGGTATAGAACCCTTTGTAGGTGGAAACAGGGGTGGGAGACCCTTCATTTGTCTGCTAGGGTGGGACAGGGACAGTCCCCCAGTGAAATGGAGTTGGGGAGGTGTTAGGGCTCTAAACTTACTCATAAAGAGCTTTCAACCAATCCTGTCCCCAATCTCCAGCTTTATCTGACTTCTAGAGGTACTTTGTACCACCAACTCTGAGAATTCCATGACATGAGGTGGGATGGCGGCTCTTGGTTTTCCCAAGTGCCAGTTTAGAATTTGGCTTTCTTGGAACTACTAAGTCAGTTACCTCATGTAACTGCACTCCATTTCCCAAATTTTGCTGTTGGTGTCTCTTCTACTTTCCCTGAACTACGTGGATTTAAAAACAATCATTTTATTGTGTTTTTAGTGGGATCTGTGAGCGAGATAAATTAGATGTAGGTATTCAATCTGCAATCTTTACTCAGAATCTGATTTGATTTGAAGTAACAGCTTGATTGAGAGATAATTCACATATCACAACATTCACCCTTTTAATGTACGATGTACTTTTAAAATGTACAATTTGGGGTTTTTAGCATATTCCTAGAATTGAGCAAAAATCACTACTAATTTCAAATTTCATCACAACAAAAAGTAACCACATATTATTAGCAAGTAACTCCTTTCCTTCCAACCCCTGGCAACCATTACTCTACTTATCTCTATGGATTTGCCTTTTCTGGACATTTCACATGAATGGAATTATATAATATATGGCCTTCTGTGTTGGCTTCTTTTATCTATCAAAACGTTTTCAAAGGTCATCATTATTGTAGCATATACCAGTACTTCATTCTTTTTTAAGTCCCTGAATACTATTCCAGTGTATGGATATACCACATTTTGTCTATCCACTCATCAGCTTATGGACAATTTGGGTTGTTTCCTCTTTTTGGCTATTAATGAATGCTGCTATGAACATCTAGATGCAAGACTTTGGTGTGGACATGTTTTTGTTTCTCTTGGGTATACATCTAGGAGCAAAATTGCTAGGTCATATGGTCACTCTATGCTTAACATTTCGAGGATCTGCCAGACCAGACTGTTTCCAAAGTGGCTGCACCATTTCATTCCCACCAGCAGTGTATGAGGGTTCCAATTTCTTCACATCCTTGCCAATAGTTATTGTCCATCTTTTTTATTTTAGCCATCATGGGTATGAGGCAGTATTGCATTGTGGCTTTGATTTGCATCTAATGACTAACGATGGTGAGCATCTTTTCACATATTTATTGGTCATTTGTCTTTGGAGAAACATCTACTCAAATCCTTTGCTCATTCTAAAATTGGGTTGTCCCTTTTATTGTTGAGTTGTAAGAGTTCTTTGTATATTCTAGGTACAAACCCCTAATCAGATAAATATTTTCTCTCACATAGTTGGTTTTTCACTTTCTTAATGGTGTCCTTTGAAGCTCAAAAGGTTTACAACATTTTGATGAAGTCTAATTTACCTAGTTTTTCTTTGTTGCTCATGTTTTTGGTGTCATATCTAAGACTCCTTTGCCAAATCCAAGTTCATGAAGATTTACCCTTACCTTTCTTTTAAGAGTTTTCTAGTTTTAACTCTTACATTTAGGTCTTGATCCATTTTGAATTAATTTTTGTATATGGTGTGAGATAGGGGTCCAAAGTCATTTTTTTGCAAGTAGCTATCCAGTTTTCCCAGCACTATTTGTTGAAAGGACTATTATTTTTCCACTGAATTGTTCTGGTATCCTTAGTAAAAATCAATTGACCATATATGTAAGGATTTATTTCTGGACTCTCAATTCTATTCCATTAATCTACATGTCAATTTTTATGATAGTACCAAACTATCTTAATTACTGCAGCTTTACAGTATATTTTAAGATCAGGAAATGTGAGTCCTCCAACTTTGTTATAATTATTTTGGCTATTCAGTGACCCTTGCATTTCCATATGAGTTTTAGTGATTTATTATAGTTAAAATATTTACTTTATTTAGAGTTTATTTTGAGTGTATGGCTAGCTAGTTGTCTTAACATGATTTTTAAAATACTGCATCTTTGAAAAATTACTTTGTCAGTGTCAAATACTTCTACCATTCCATATCATAGAGTGATCCCACTCGCCAATAACATAAATCTAATTATTTAGGTCTATAAAAGATCTGAATACTTAGTAAAGCAAATCCTGTCTCATTAAATTTCTTTTTCAGGTGATTTCTTGGTTACTTTAATTTTTTCTTATTATCCAAGATAAATTATTCAAAATCATCTGCTGGGTGCCCTCCCCCCACCAAGAATCATCATAAGGACATTACTGGAAAAGTGAATTACATTTATAGATTAAGTTTTTGAAGAACCTACATCTTTTTTTTTTTGAGACAGAGTCTCACTTTGTTGCCCAGGCTAGAGTGAGTGCCATGGCGTCAGCCTAGCTCACAGCAACCTCAAACTCCTGGGCTCAAGCGATCCTCCTGCCTCAGCCTCCCAAGTAGCTGGACTACAGGCATGTGTCACCATGCCCGGCTCATTTTTTCTATATATATTAGTTGGCCAATTAATTTCTTTGTATTTATAATAGAGACGGGTCGCTCTGCTCAGGCTGGTTTCGAACTCCTGACCTCGAGCAATCCGCCCACCTCAGCCTCCCAGAGAGCTAGGATTACAGGCGTGAGCCACCGCGCCCGGCTAGGAACCTACATCTTTATAAGTATGAACTTTGCTCATTCAGATCCATAATATTTCTTTTCTTTCATTCAATTCTTATGATGTCCCTTGCTCTGAAGAGTTTTTTTTCACTTAGGTCCTCTACATTTATTTTATAAATGTTAAGAACCCAAAGTAACACATGTGAAATTTTTAGCCCTACATGTGTCTTAGGTGTGTGCATTCTGTGGAATTTTTACCCCTATATGTATATGTACTAGGTGCATTCCATGGAATTTGATATCTTTGGTTATACCATAAATGGGATTCTCTTTTTCATTTTATGTTCCTGATATTAATACATTTTCCCTGAAACCAGCTACTACCTACATATTTAACCTACACAGCCCAAGAAATTCAAGCAGAAAAACAAAAAAAGGAACTAATTAGGTTTTCTAGGTAGACAGTCTTATCCTTTGAAAAATGATAAAAATTTCCCTTTTCTTTCCCAATATTTATGCCTATTTCTTGTGTTACTGTATTAGTTAGAAATTATAGGAAAAAAGTGTTCTGACTTTGGTAAGTATGCTTTGAGTCTGATCTTTCACTGATTTCAGGAGCCAGGAAGCCTCCTAAAAGTAAGAAAATACCTTTCTGCTCCTAGTTTACTAAAAGATACAAGGATTAGATTTTTGAATTCTACTGACTTTTCAGCAGGCATAGATGACCAGTTTGTTCTCCTATGGCCTATTATTGTGATGAGCTGGGCAAATACATTTCCTGACACTGAGCTGTCCTTTCATTACCAAAGTAAACTCTGCTTGGTAAAGGGTACAAGTTAATTAACTTTGATGTGTGTGCGCCTTGCTTTCAGATCATGACACATAGCACCTCAAGGGCAGTGACTGAATGTTATGCTTCTTTGCAACTCCTGCAAGCACTGTACTAGGCAGTGTTATCTTCAATTTTCATTGAATATTCAGTGAATATTTTATTAAGGGCCACCTCTGTTCCAAGCACCATGCTACATTCTAGGGATATCAGGATGAATAAGACAGACTCATTCTATGATCTCACGGAGCTTATAGTCTAGTTTTACGCACCTATTAATAGTAAGCACTGAATGAATGAGTAAAATAAACGCATTGCCCCAAGAGCCCTCTAAAATACTACACTCTAAGCTCCCTGAAGAAAGATACTCTTAATAAGGCTCTACGAAGAACAAAGAAAGGTAGTATCATTGCCTTTGGGCTCCCAAATCCTTATCTGACCCAAACAGAACCTAAAAAGGGTATCACCAGCCAGCTGGGGTCCAGGGACAGTATATCCAGCAGAGACCAAGCAAACAGAGAGGGCCTTTGGCCTCAGAAGTAAAGCCTGGTGAAGTTATCAGAGTACGGGTCAGGGGTAAAGGAGAGGGGTCTCCTGGGTTTATTCTGAGACTGCTAAATGGCAGATGTGATCCTGCTCTGCCTGAGAAATAGCCAGAAAGTGGGGCAGGTGCCTTGATGGAAGGGTGCGATTGTCTCCGCCACTGAAACGGGGCATTCTTACAGGAAAGGGTGGATGGTGGCCAGAAGGAGAAAGTATAGCACAACTGCACTTGGGCAGGCTCTCCACTCTTCTTCCTTGGCTCCTGGTTCCAGCCCCTGTTCTTAGCCCATGGGCACGCAGGACCTCCGCAGGAGCTGCTTTAGGGAACACGGGGCAAGCGTGTCAGTATTGCAGCCTCTCTGAGAGCAGCCCTGGGCTGGCAGTCCCCCAGCACAGAAGGCCCACTGGGCTTCGGGACTGTCCTTCCTCCCCTGCCCCCTGGCGTCAGCCTATCCCCATGGCATCAGGGGTCAGCAGAGGTCCAGAGAGGAGATGGGGCCTGCTCCCCAGAGAAGCTTTATGTTCTGGAAGAAATCAAGAGGGCTCTGAGCTCCCTGCCTCTGGGGTAGGAGTCCTAACTTGGTTCAGCTTGCCATTCCACAAATATGAGCAGCAGAGGGCAGGAGAAGGGATATTTTAGTCTCAGCAACAAATGGAGAAAACATTTCTCTCAACCCTCCCCCTTCTCCAACCCCCAACGTGCCCCACCTCAAAGAAGAAAAAAAGTTCCGTGTGTACGGAGGGAAAGGGGGGGAAAAAGATTCTATTTTCTTTCACAATAAAGAAAAGTCAACAGGATGTTCTCCAAAGCTACAAATATACTTTTTCGAACAGTAAATATCTCTATTAGCAGCATGATGCCAGTTGGCTAATTCTGTCTGTCTCAGTAAAACCTTTCCAAAAAAACTCCTGCTCTTGTGTAATGTCTATTTACAAAAACAGCTCTTTTGCATTTTCAGTTTGCTTGGTTTCTCAATCTTTTGTTTCCTCACCCCCTCTACTGCAGAGGCAGAGATAAGAGGCAGGCCCAGATGGCAGTTGGGTGGGGATCCCCAGTCACCCCACTCGGTCCCTGCCTTCTTTGGAGAGTCCTCCACGTCCATGACAACGAAGAGTGGAAAGAGGCTGAACGTGCTTCCTCGGTCTTCCCTTGGCCTCCAGCATTTGTTTCCACTGAGTGTAAGCGAGCCTCGGCCCGGCTGGGGGTGGAAAGAACCCTGAAATGATTCAGCCCACCCCGCCCCATATCTTTCTGATATCTCGAGCTGGGCAAGAGATCCACAGTTTTCGGGGGACCGGGGGGAGGGAGGTGAGGGAGGTGAGAAGGAGGACTGAGCAAAGAGTAGGCGGCAGTTGATAGTGGCTGAAATCCTGGCTCCCCGGGGAGTGGTCTGGGCCTGAGTCACTGTCTCGGCAAGAGCAGGAAGGTGGGCGAAAGGCAGCAGCTTCTGCAGGCTGAAGGACAAGCCCTCCTCCCCCCATCCTTCTGTTACTCTATCCTTGGGTTGCTGCCTGCTCTGGTCTGAGGCTACCACCACCTTAACAATCGGAGAGAAAACACAGGGCCAGGGCTGGGCCAGGGCTTATGGAGAGTCATCTGGCTCCGGCCGAACAGCTGCTTGTTGGATGCCATCCTCCCTGTCTGAGAGGCCAGCTGGCCACAGGGCCAAAGGGCCAAGGGAAGTTCAGCCTGAGCAAGGATGTACGCGACCCCATCAGAGTGGGACCTGGCCTGAGCCGGAATGCATCCGTCTCCAGCGCCTACGACTGCAGCCCTCGACCCCACCTTGGTCTTTGCCTAAACTATCTGGATCGGAAACCAGAGCACACAGAACACAACCCTGCCTCACCATCCGTCCGAGGAGGTATGTGTGTGTTTAAAAATAAAAGGCATGACTCTGACTCGATGGATTTGTTCCTTGGCCATGAACAATCCTCCAGCTCAGCTGTGAGCCCTCCTTCCCCACCACTCCCAGGCTGACCTCTGAAAAGCAGATGGAATGAATCACGCAACGCCAGGTCACACGAGAGCTGGGAGCTCTCCCCATTAAAGCGATCACTTATTGAGCATCTACTACTGCCGGATTCCGTGTAGGTGCTTCTGATACAAGTGTTTATGTAAAGTGGGCCCCTTGTATACTCCACAGGAGACAATGACTGGGTGAGGGTGTGGACCCTGGAACCAGACTGCTGGGGTTCAAGTCCTGTCCCTGATTACCAGCTGTGAGACTCTTTCC